TTCACCCAAATATCCTATGTCAAGAAAATCGTTTTCTTGAATCAATACTTTAATAGTCTTGGCCGTATTCAATCCCACGATTTGCTTCAACCAAGAAAAATTTTCTTGGTTCAATACTTTTTTTTTCAGTGAAGTCAAATTTTACCTTCGAATCAGATTTGTATTTGGGTTCAAGTAAAATAATATTTAAATTATTCGAAATATTGTCTTAATTTTAGATTAGATAATAAAAATAGAATTTATTGTTGGCTTATTATTTTTTGAATTTAAAAATGTGTATAATTTAAGAAAAACACGCTGCCATTGCTTCAAGAATACGTTTTGGCGTCAACTTAAAATATTTTGCGCTTTTTAAACAAAAGGAAAACGAAAATTAAAAAAAAATTACCTATTGTTATGCATTTTTTTAATTGAAGATTAAAAATGTATTGCATAGCTAGTTTCTAAAAATCGCTAAGTCAAGGGGACAATTATTTCGTTTGTATAATTGTAGCTGGCATGTTCCTATATTAGAAATCATCCTCTACTACTCTATTATTTTTTTTAGGTTCTCACTATGTACCATACATCATACATAGTGTGAGAGTGGTTCTCAATCGATAAACTTTTTCATTTGTAAATGATGAAAAAAGAATTCTTGATTTCGATGAATGTAAACTCGACTTTTTAAAATACGTTTTAAAGTTCAAGTCGAGAGTAGAATTGTGGAAATATATAGACATATGTATTTCCCTCTACAAACATGTGTGAGATGATGTCAGTCGCGTTCAGGGTCTTCTCGAGTGAACGTCACCATAATTTCTCTCGGTATCGCTTCAGGGTTATCGAACAATGTCTTTTTTCCTTTTTATTTACTAAAAAAAACCCAACGATCAGTTAAAATTTGAATGTTTTTAATAAATTGTTATCTTTCTATAAAAGACGAGTCTCGAAAAAAATTCTTTTATGAGAGATGCTAGAAATTTTCGACATATTTTTCTAAAATTTAATCAATTGATCTCTTTGTTTGCAAATTATGTTTTATAAAAGAACTATAATTATTTTAATTCCACATTTCTTAAAATGTAAAACATTTATCTCATTTTATAATTTGTAATTTTTTTATGAAATTTACCGTTTTCTTTAACTTATGAAATAGACTATAAAATAGTTTTATTTGTTTCTTAAGTTGTCGTAAAAATCACAAAAGTATCGAGCGACAATGATTCCAAGGTATGACGTCGGCAGTGCCGTGTCTCTGCAAAGGTAAACGACAAAAAAGTAATAGGAAGTCATTTTTGCATTTTTATTTATTCAAAATATTTTTAGTAAAATTAAGAATTACTTCCATAATGAATCATTAAATTATAAAGTTTTCATTTATATTATTTCTAGTTATTTTGTAAATAATTATTATATAGGTAGTATTTATTGTTATTCGCACTTTTAATATTTAACTTGTAGAATTTTTGAGTAATCAGAAAAATTTGTGTTTCTAATTAATTCATTATACTGGTATATGTGCATATATACAAACTTCTATATACTTTCTCTACATTTTTTTTAAAAGTTCTTTTCTTCCAGAACGAATAATTATACTGGTGAATGATGACGATTATTTGAAATCATCTTTATAAATAAGATCAGACTTTTGTTTGTACATTGCATAGAATTTGAAAATTCATTTTTATTTTTTCTATTTGAGTAGTAAGAATTCCAAAAATGACAATAAAAAAAATTATGTATGTATTTATGTATGTATGTATGTGTGTATGTATGTATGTATGTATGTCTGTCCGCAATATTTTGTCCGGGATAAACACAAAGACTACTTGACCGATTAAAACGAAACTTTACAGTCTCTTTGGTCTTAGTCTAACTTAAATTTATTGCCATATCCGATTGAAAAATATTAAGCTGAACAAAAGTTATAGCTTTTTTCACAAAATTCAAAAAATCAAAAAAATGCAAATTTTTTAATTTTTTGTCAAATTGATGTGACACTTTCTGTAGCTACTTTTTAATCTAAATACAACTAATTTTCACTATAAAAATGAAATATAAATAATATATACGAATTTTTAATCCAAAATCATATTTTTGATTTTCGAAAAAATTTTAATTAATTTTTTTTTGTTGAATATTGTTTAATTTTTTATAAGTTGGTAGTGATATCGGTTGATGTTTTTAAATTTTAAATTACATTTATTTTATTAACAAGTTTAGAGGTCATGAATTTGATGTCGATTACAAATTTTCTAAAATCAATGAACGTGAGTTTGCGAACAATTTCTAAATTGATATTTTCAGGTTTCAAGTTTTAAAATTTCATAGTATGTATTGTCATATTTAACGTAGAAAATAAAATATATCTGTTAAATATAAAGCGTATATAGTAAAAGTTTCAATAAAACTGAAATTTGACTTCAGCAGGCACTGGGACATGGAAAGTCATTAAGACGCCATTAGAGCAAATTGGGATTTATAAATAAAAATTTTCTTATTTTTGAATTCTAGAAATGTTTTAGAAATGACTTTGAAAATAAATAACAAATTCCTATTTATGAATTAAAATTGTTCTTCTTGAATTTTAGAAATGTTTGGGGTATGTTGTTGCTTTCCAAAATTCTATCCGGGCATTACGCAAAAACGGGTAAAATGTAAAATCCCATATGGAAATTTTCAATAGGGATATGGAAAAATTATACCATACGGTTTTACATGGGAATCCATATGGTTTCCTTTATGAAAGTGGATCCCATGTAGATTTCCATGTGGGAATCGAAAACGTGTTATAGTTTCTACTAATACATTTAATAGAGTGTCTATTAACCGCGAAGGAAACCCGAGAAATAACCGGGAATTTAATTCAACCAGGAAAAATCGGAAATTTTCTTATCTAATTATATTAATTCGTTTTTAAAAAATTGCTTTTTGCTTTAATTTCTATTGATGTATAGAGAAAGGTAGATTATGCGATTGCATAATTGCATAATTTTTTAAAATCAAGTAGAAACATTATAATATTATGTTAATTCATGTTTTAAACCTTTTACAACATGTTTCTAGAGCGCATAATATTGCATAATTTTTTACTCACTGCATAATTGTACTCTTTTTGCATAATGATCGCATAATAGGCTAAAAATTTTCAAGATAGTGCTTTTCTTAACTAAAAACCATGAACATTTTTTTCAGTTTCTTTATTTTTAAAATATTTTTTTAAATTAAATAATAAATAAGTTTTTAAACTGTTAACTAACTTGTTAAATGTTATTGAAAAATTAAATAAATCTTAAATTTTAAAAAGCAGTAAGTGCTATATATGATGAGTAAAATCGTTTCCGGTCATTTTCCCGAATGTCTAATATTTATCAAATGTCTAAAATCTCGAATACTTTTATACAAAATTTTGTATGAAGATGTTTCCGTTGTTAAAATTTTTTTCGGAACCTTAAAGAAACCACAGCAAAGATTTGTTTAGTGTTTGCCTCATTCAATTTCGTTTGGTCGTTCAAAAGTTATTTAATTATTATTTAATACCTGTTTTGTTTATAAAAATTTGTATAAACATAATATAAACAATTGATTTGTTTTTTTTTGCTGAATTAAGTGTGGTGGAAACATTTCTTTTTATGTGTAGATTGAAATTCCTGAATTTTATTGCAATTGGTTTACTTACTCCGAAAAAACTAAATTCTTAATGGGGTCGCACATATATCCATTTCATAAAAAAAAACAAAAAAAATTTTGGGTACATAAATCTTCGGGAAATTAGATTCGGGAAAAAGGTATTTGTAATTTTAGACATTCGGGATAGGGCATTTCGGGAAGTTGGTTTCGAAAAATAACCAGTAACCGTTTCAAATCAAAAAAAATTTTGTAAATGCAACATAATTTTGTAAAATGAACATTTTTTAGCGCATAATTGAAGCAGAATTCTTTTTAATTGCATAATCATGCTCATTTTAGCGCATAATTAACGCAGAATTCATTTTTTTAGTCGCATAATTCCACATAATTGTACACAATTTAAGCGCATAATTCCGCATAATTGTGCACAATTTTAGCGCATAATTAGAGGGACTCAAAATGCATAATCTACCTTTCTCTATTGATGTAATATTTTTATTTGTCAAAATTTAAGACCTACTTAAAACTCCAAAAGCTGGTGGAAAATTAGTATTAATTATTAATACATTAATTGAAATACTACAAACGCATAAAGTACTACAAATTGACAAATACTTTTCTGTAAATCTGAATTAGTTAAAAATAGTATTTGATAGAAAAAGTCATTTACTGATTCAAATTGTAATATTTTTCTAATGAAATAGTTAATGTTAACTAATTATTAGTTTTTCTTAGTCAAATTAAGTTCCCGATTGGTAGACACCTGTTCAAATATATTAGTTGAAACTAAAACCCGTTGAAGACGGGTACGACAGCTAGTTGTTAAATAAAGGCAGAATGAATAAAAAACACTATTAATAACTAATTAATATAATAATAAGAAGTATACATATAATAAGTGGTAGATAAATAATGTAATAATAAATAATAATAAGAAACAATGTAAAAGTAATTATTAAACAATAATAATAAATAATTAAATACAGTGAGTTCTCGCGAGTCGTTCAATTCTCGAAAATTTTCAAGATCATAAAACTCACGAGTCGTTCAACGCATAAGCCACGCCTCCAAGGCGATTTCAGGGATGTGTGAAACATATTTATCGCCCCGAAAGACACAATTTCAATGACTTTGGTCCGTTTAAATTACACAGCACTGAGCACCGGCGCGCGCATGCTAGAAATTGAACGACTCGTGAATCGGACACTGATCAGCTGTTGAACGACTGGCGAGTTTGAACGACTCGTGAGTTGAACGACTCGCGAGAACTCACTGTAGTTAATAAAAAATAAACAATAAAAAATAATTGATAAGGAATAAAGAAGAAGAAAACATTAGTAATAAGAAATAACTAAAAAGTTAAATAAAAAAGGATATTTTATTTTCAGAATTCCCGTGCAACCTTCTCCAAGGCGGAAATCGATTTCACCGGCCGCAAATCAGAAATTAGGAAATGAAAATTTAAATCTTCCTGGAGCACCAAGTCCTCATTCTACGATAACTAGTGTAAATAGTATTCAAAGTTTGCTAAAGGAAAAATTTCAACTGTCCTTGCCTCAGGCACTGAGAAACAGTAAACAACGACAAAATGCAGATTATAGGTATGAAGATGAAAAATTTTAATTAATTTAATTATAATGATAATTTAAAAATTGAAACTATGAACCCGGGATCTATCAATATTGTCGTTTGATTGATGTTCCAATTGTTTTTCATAACTCCAGGAAAATTTGAAATAATTATTAATTTAATAATAGGGAAGCGTGGATTAATTGGAGTGTGGGAATAATAGAAGCTTTTAATGATAGAACGTCCAAGGGACCTACCGGCAGTCCAACTTGGCCTTTCAGAAGCCTCTATTTCATTACGTTATAAAGTTAGTATGGATTATGGATTTAGTTAAAAACAGAGTTAAATATAATTATATAGTTGAAAAGATAACTAAACAAAATATTAAAGGTGAAAAAAGTTAACAATTTTTAACAATTCATTTTCCTTTAATTATAACTAAACAAACTTTTCAGCGCACTAAACATTAAGACTTTTTAAAAGTTAAATGCTAAAATAGGACAGACCCGGTAAGAAGGCTTGAATAAAAAGGTATTAAAAATTATTTCATCATCAATAAAAAGACGAAAATTTTAAATACTTCTGAATTCCTTTTTTGTCCGCTAAATTTAATACTTCTATTAAGTCAGATTCTACTATGAAGGAGTTTACACCGTAAGCCTTAAATATAAGCCTCCGCGAGCATAAACGGATATGCCTCCATGAGCATATACTTGCGTCTGCGCAAAGTGTTTGCCTGCAGCTGTGTTGTGAAAGAGTTTGCCTTGACCACGTGTTCGCGCAGGCGCAAATATATGCTCCTGGAGGTATATCCGTTTATGCGCGCGGAGGCTTATATTTAAGGCTTACGGTGTAAACTCCTTCTATAAAATGAATCCTTTTCAATGCCCAAAGTTTACAATATTAGAATGAATATTTTTTAATCACTTAAAGTGGAATAAATTTGTGATCTATCTAATGCCTTTTAATTCCTTGTAAATCAAATGCTTGCTGGTGACAAAACAAAAATTGACCAATCAAAATCCAAGTTACTTGAGAAAAGAATGAAAAAAGAAAAGAAAATGGCTCTGTTCATTGACAGTTGTAATGTGCTTGACTTTGTAACTGGTGATAAATGGCGTCAACTGCGACTGTTCACCCAGTAAAAAAAGAAGTATTGAGTGGAGCGTTTAGGAATTGAGTGAAGCTCTGAGCCAATACGGATTCGAGTAAAAACCGTATTGGGACGTTTGACTCAATCTTTTTTTCATCCGCCGAATACGGTCTTATTTTAGCATTAAAATTAAAATCACATGACCAGAGTACACATTATAAATTGAAAGCACAATTGTCCTGGAATGTAAAAATGCCAATTTCAATAAGAAACAGTGAATATTTGTTAAAAATTGATAAAAGCAAAGTTTGACAAGCGCGACTGAATTTACTATGTGAATAAATGAAGTGGTAAGTTTAAATGGACGAAAAGATATCTACTGTTACCGACAGAAAGTTCCTAGAGAATTGTAAAACAATGAAATTTCATTGTTTTGTTGAATTCACCACAATTCTCTAGGAACTTTCTGTCGGTAAAAGTAGATTTCTTTTAGTCCATTCCGTCCATTTAAACTTTCCACTTCATTTATTCACATGGTAAATTCAGTCGCGCTTGTCAAACTTTGCTTTTATCAATTTTTAACAAATATTCACTGTTTCTTATCGAAATCGGCATTTTTACATTCCAGGACAATTGTGCTTGTAATTTATAATCTTGTGATTTTAATTTTAATGCTAAAATAAGACCGTATTCGGCGGATGAAAAAAAGATTGAGTCAAACGTCCCAATACGGTTTTTACTCGAATCCGTATTGGCTCAGAGCTTCACTCAATTCCTAAACGCTCCACTCAATACTTCTTTTTTTACTGGGCACGTGCATATAATCGGGTGCAAATTACCAAAGTGCAAATAAAATCGCACATAGCACCGAGAATTTCTCTAAACTAGACAGGATCTCGCCCAGTGAGGTTATAAATATTGCGTGGTAAAAGTCATGGAGAATGTGAGGTTATTTAAATGTCCGTATAATAAGGAAATATTGAATATCAAACTTGAGCAAAAATTTTACTGTGAATAATAACTTGACATGTTCAGGCAATATTGTATCAATGTTGCATGCAATATTCGCCCAATTATTAAATTTTTGTCTGCTAATATAAACTGAGCGATTTCCTGTCAAGTTTCAAGAAATTTTTGGTGCTGTGTGATTTTTATGTAAATCACGTCTAATAAAAACTTTTATTAAAACTTTATTTAATTTTAATTATTACTTTCCTTTATTTCACTTACTCATAAAAAATTGACTTCCTGAGCATCACATTTTCCATAAATACCTATATTTAAAATTGAATACTTTTCTACACCTAACCTGAAATTATGTGCTTTTTAATTCCTTTCTTATACCTTAGTCCCCTTGATCAACGTTTATGTGACGATATTAAAGGGAATTAAAAATCTTTTATTTGTATACTTTTTTTGGGAATTCGAAACTCAGGACAAAAAAGGAATTAAAAGGAATACAATTTTTTCAATACTTTTTAATGCAAGCCTTTTTACCGGGGAGAAATGTGAGGATTTTCGGCATTTCCAGGAGACAGCTTTCTTCGACGTTCTATCATTGAATATCAAGCATTTATAGAAGCTTTGAAAATTACGGGAACAACACAAAAAACTTAAACAACCTTTGCTTTTTTACAAAAACAAACGATCACATTCTTGATAAATTCACAGTAACGACAAGCAAAATGCATTTTTCGAAATTTTCGTTGTTAAATACAAATTATTTCCATTTATATTTACTTATGTTTTGTCATTATATTATAATACTGTCATAATATTATAAACCATTTCCAGATGACATAATAAATAGTTGCAATTGTATATTTAGGTACTTATGTTTTGTCATTATATTATAAGAATTGGTGTAGATTTGGGTACACCCAGTCAAAAAAGTTGTATAGAATGATTATTTATATCATTCTGTAGAATAATTTATAGAATTTATCTATAGAAATTAAAAAAAATATTTTTAGATAAACTCTACAAAATATTCTATAGAATATGTTTTTTTAGTTATATATTAAATAATCACCTGTAATTTGTTTATTTTTAAATTTTAAATATTTTTGGATACTTATTTATATTTAAAAGAGGGATTCCTGAGCCATAAGAAATGTTTATTGACAAATTTTTTAAATTATGTTTTAACGTGTAAAAATAATGCCAAACTTCAAGTATTGTGCACCTGATCCTTAAGAGGGATTCTCATGAGAAAAAAATTTTTCTTCGAATTTTTTTTTCTTGCTTTTTTAAAATCCTTAATATCTCTAGAATAAAGGTTTTAAATTTTATGGCGAAATTTAGCTCCTATCAAAAGTTATAGTACATCACACTACCGTCAGAGTGGCTCCACGCGCACGGCCCAAAAATATACCAATCTTTAAATCATGATATTCCTGAAAAAATAATGTGAGAAACTTAAGAAATCCACCGTTAGAAAGCTTATAATATTCTATGTTAAATAATATACAATTCGAAATTTGAAGAAATTACACAAATATTTTAACAATCGACAAATTTGAAAAAGAAAATTAAAAAATTAAAGTTTTTTTGAGAATTTTTTAAACTCTGGCATATTTTTTAAAAATTGCAGACAAAATTTAAAACTTATATAGATGTGATCCTTTAAGTCTTATCTTTAATTTAAGGCCAAAAACGTTAAAAAATCTTATTTGGTTCGCGAGATATCATTATAAATATCAGTTCATGTTTTTGGACAAATACATTGAATTACTCAATTTTGTATGGTTTTTGACAATAAAAAAGCTCGCGACAAACATGAAAAGGCTTATCAGGAAGCTTATAACTTACTTTATTGACCTAGGATAGCCAATTAAAATTTGGTAAGCTCTTATAAAAACCAATTAACAATATATCTGAAAAAATCGTACTTAAACTTTAACTGCTTTTTAAATCGGTTGCAGGGATTCTGAGTAAACGGATGAATGTTTCTTACTAATTTTTTTTGCATATTATTAAAAAATATATTCTTTAGTGGGTAAACCTAAAAAATTTGAAAAAGAAAATATTTTTATACTTTTTTTTAATAAAAATGCGGAGAAAAAAGGTAATTTTTCAATTTTTTTGTTAAAAGTAGTGTCATTTTTTTATTGTTTTTAATACTTTAAGTTATACTTTTTATTATGCAAAAATTTTTTAACTTTTATAATAAAATAATCGAGAAAAAAATGTTGAATTTTGACGTATTTTGCACACTTCTCATGAGGGATCCCCCTTAAAGGTCGTAAAATGTTTTTCTGAAACTTGTTTTTGAAGTCTGTATACGCCATAACTCAAAATCTACTGGACCAATCGTTCTGAAATTTGGTACAGTACTTCTTGACATAATTCCTTAGATATCCATGGGAGCTTTTTCTTGTTTTAAAAAGATTACTAATTTACAATACAGTCATCCCCCGCAACCTGCACAAATTTGAGAATTTTCCCCTTTTCTTAAATTCGCTACCTGACCATCGAGGAAATAGCCACCCCACCCCTTCACGTTACAGTTTTCAGGGCTGTACAGGGCAATAAGAGAATGCAATACAGATTATTTAATCAATTCATATATTAATGTAATTATGTAGTATAATTAATTAAATTACTTAATATATTTACTTCGTCATATTTAATAATAGAAATAATTTGTTTCAATCGTTTAAAAAGTATTGGAAAATTATTTTTGAGGGAACATGTTTTTTAAATTTGACAAATGATCTTTTGTTGTTTCACTAAATTTTTGAAGCTGCATTACATCATTTCCGTCACACTCCCAGCATTGTTGATACCATTTACGAAATAATTTGAGACCATCATATGCAGCTTTGGCCCCATCAACTATATTGCCTGTGCCTCTTTCTTGAACATTTTCAACATCAACTGTATTATTTTCGGAGTTATTTTCTTCATCGTCAGTTACGTCTTCGTCATTTTCCTCGACAATCTCATGACATAGGAACCTGTAAATCAATTATTAAATTACTGACTCTAATAAAATAATTAATAACTTCAAAATTATAAATTTTTACTAACAAATACATTTTTTAATAAAGAATACCTTTGAATAACTTGATTAATGTTTAAAACATTACAACCAGGTTCTGAGCTATCATGCTATCAACTTCAAGCCACGATGATACTTGATCGACTGTAATATTCTGAAACCCAGGAAGTCTGTAAAGGATTTGAAGAATGTCATCTTCACTCATATCTTTTTTATTTTCAAGGTCAATATCGCAAGCAGGAATCAGTTTCCTCCATGCTCGACATATATTTGTTGATGTTAATTCTGACCAGGCTTGAGAAATTTGAATACAACAATGCAAAATATTCCTTTCCTTAAGAAATTTAAGAACGCATAGTTTGTCTTCTACTAGGAGCATTTCTCTTAAAAGGCTTTTTTTATAAAGCTGCTTCATTTTTTGCATAACTCCCTGGTCCATTGGTTGAATTAACGATGTAACATTTAGTGGAAGATTTTGTACCTTTAAAAAAGTTTTTTAATAAATATTCAAACGAAATATTTAGTATAATAATATATTTATGTATTTAAAAATAATATAAAAGGATAATATACTTACGATAATCATGTCATCGATTAATTCTGTTTCTTCTTTCGATAAATGACATCTAGCGTTATCTACAACTAGCAACACCTTCTTTTTAACTCCTCTTTCATTCTGAAATTTTCGTACCGATGGTAAAAATACTGTAGTAATCCACTGTTTATATAGTTCGCGAGTCATCCAACTATTCTTTTGATTAGCATATGTTAACAGTAGCTGATTGGCCTCACGAAAGCAGCGTGAATTTTTGGACTTTCCAATTAAAAAAGAGGCATTTTATGAGACTCGTCGGCGTTTAATTTAAATATAATGAATTCATTTTCAAATACCTTTTATTTAAATTAAATTTATAATAGTTACTACAAAGTTAATCAAAAATAGATTTATAAAAAAGGTAGTTTTAGCATGAAAAAAATACCTAAAAATTATTTTATAATAATTAAAAAGATATAATTACTTCAATTAAGAAAAAATAATTCCGTAAATATAAGGTAAATAAGACAATATGTTATTCCGAAAAAATTTTGCACAGTCCACTACGTACATCACTGTTTCGCGCAGAGAGGGAAGTCAAGTAGCCCAAGTAGAAATGTCCGGAGTTAGGACGGAGTTAAAACACCGGCATGGTACTGACTTTTGGAACTCAATCAGTACTGGGAGTATATTGACTCCAAAACCGAATCAGTAATACGTCGGAGTTAAAAAAGTATTAAAATCAGTACTGGCAGAAAACTGTCATAACACCAAATCAGTACTGCGAAGGAGTTAAAAAACAAACAAAATTTGTTATAATGGCATCGAACCGGCCACTATTAATAACAACATAGTTTGATTTATTAACTATTAAAATATTTTCCAAGATTTTTAAAAACATTCTTCATCAACAATAATATCAAACATAATATCAAACACTTAGTTATAAATTATTAATTATTAATTAATAGGTATATCATAATAATAATAAATTATTATTTATTAATTTTTTTTACTATTATGTATTATTAGGTAATAATAATTTTTTTTTTTTTTTTAAATTTATAAATATATATTTTTTATTATTCTTTTAATAAATAATCAAATTATAAATAATTAAATAATTAAAAAATAATAAAAAAATAATAATTAATAAATAATTAAATTAATAATTTTTATAGTAATAATCGTTTATTTTCTTCCGTTGTTGTAATTTGTTAATGTTTTTAAATCGATTATCGGAAGAGTAGTAAATGAAACACTTGTATCACTTGTGCAACGTTTCGGTGTCTTGGTTTGACACCATCATCAGGCCACTTTATTTAAACAATGAAAATTAAAAATTAGTTTTTTACAAATAAAAATGCAAGTACAAAAAATTATTGAATAAATGAAAAATTAGATACCTAGTCATTTTTTAAAAAAAGTTTAAAAAATTGTTAAAACAAATAATTCGTTACATTTGTAACTCGTCTTAAAATTCGTCAATGAAAATAAGATATCGTTAAGACTGAACACTGCCATTTCTTGCGAGTGACAAAACAAGACTAAAATCAGAAGGAGGCAGTTCGTACACAATACACATCGAACACGTGGAGTCAATGAACTCCAACCAAAATAATAGAAATAATATAATCATTCTTTCAGTTTCCTTAGTAAAGGAAAATAAGTATTGCTTAGAAATTGTATATCTTCTTTCTTATTAATCGTAAAATCATTACATTTTATATACAACATTTCAGAAATTAAACGTTTTTTATAATTGGACTCTAAATCTAAAATCTTAACATTATCGATATTGAAAGAATGATTATGTTCAGATTGATGTTCGTTAACAACTGATTCGATTTTTTTGTTTTTATGTTCTTTAATTCTCTTTTCCAAACTCCGTTTTGATTCACCAATGTAAGTCGCAGGACAATTATTACAATCAAATTTATAAACAATGCCAGTTTGATTCCATTTTTTGGTTCTGTCTTTTCCCAATTTTATAACCGAAGTTAAAGATTTATTAACCATTGGAATTGACAATAAATTATAATCTTTTAGAATATTTGACAATTTTGCATAATTGTTATTAAAAGGAATACAAATTTTTGGAATGCGACTATAAATTGTAGATTTATCGTTTTTCTTTTGGTTACTACTTAATTTTTGTTTAAATAATCTAATTTTTACATGCTTATTAACAAAATCCATTGGATAATCATTTTTAAGAAGAATCTGAACAACTTTTTCAGTATTAGATTTATGAAAAGAATCGTGTGACAATAAAATCGCTCTATCTACTAAATTATAAATGATGTTTCTTTTTTGTTGAATTGGATGACCAAAAAAATAATTTATAACTCTATTGGAGGATATTGTTTTTTGAAACCAATTGGTAATGAGATTGTTATTATTTATTATTAATGTCATGTCGAGAAAATTAATTTGTCTATCATTATTATTTAATAATTTTTATCATATTTTTATGCTATACCTATTAATTAATATATAACGTCTTGTTAAAATGTATATAAATATATAAAACCTATATATGTGACACTCCACGAGAAAAGGGACCTTATGACAAGAGTAAATAAGGTCCCTTTTCTCGTGGAGCGTCACATATATTTATAATAATTTTTCTTTAAGTAAATATAATATACAGTGAATTCATTATTATAGCACTGTATATATCCTTCCCATAATTCAAAAGAAAGTTTAAGTAAAATCACTTTCAAGCTTGCGTGGCTGTGCGGTTAGTGTATTCGTCTTGCGTCCTCGAAGTCTAGGGTTCGATCCCCCGTGCGTCCGATATTTTTCCGTCTTAGTTCTAAGTGTTTAATGTATAATTCTCAACAGTGTTACATAAAATATAAATTTAAATAAACAATAATAATAATAATTTAGTAATTAATTAAAATAAATAAGATTGTATTTAAATTAATGAAAAAAAAAAATTTTTTAAACTTATTTCAATAAAAGCAATTTTGCTAATTATTTACATTTTTATTGTTACTCATAAAAGTTTATTTACTACAGAAATATTAATAATAATTATTCACAGTTGGCTTCAAGTAAATTTAGATTTTGCAAAATGGTGACAAAATTGGCTAGTGGCATTTCAATCCAGTATATTTAAACTTTGAAAATTGTAAAGACGAAAATCGTAGCAGATCCTTTTTTCGAGTTATTGTCAAATTAATTTGGTTTAAATTTAAGAAAAAATTTATTTTTAAAAATTATACAAATTTTTGTTTATTTTATACAATTTTATAACATAGCAGTTTAATAAGAAAATTGAATTTTTTAGTTACAATAAAGTATTATAAAAATAACAATATGCATTGGATCATCAATCAATTTAATTTTATAACTCTCCCAAAACTTCAAAAATTCACGGTGAATTGATTCACCAGCTTGTTCCGACCACAAACCTAAACCACAATTTTCTAAAAAGCTTAAACACTCTTAAATATGTGATGCAGCAACATGAATTTTTAAAGTTTCTGTAGCTTCTGTACCTCTGAGTGCAATTTTTAATTCGTGAATGTATTTATCTAAAGCAGGACCAACTGTTTTCGCAGAAAAACAACTTACTACTTTATCCATGGCCTTAAACGAAGATATTAAAGGCACTAAACTTAATTGACCCACATCTTTATAAATTTCATAATCTAAAAGTTTATCTGATTCTTTCAAAAGCTTCCGGCAAGCATTTCCCTTAAAAATTTCCCCTTGGTAATTCCTTGTTATTAATTTAAATTTTTTTGGCCAAAGTAGCGCTTTTTCGCGACCAACAAGCGGTACTAAAGTTTTAAAATTAGCAACTTTCTTCATTTAAGAGCCTGATGCACTCATGTTTATTTGAAAATTATCTCAGCTTTCCAATGAAAAGGTTACATTTTTCTTCTCTGAAGAATTTAAATCGATTCTTGTTTTACATCCTAGAGTACTTAAATAAATTGTAGTGTTTTTTTGGAGCATCGTCAGTTTTCAGTTTCTGTTAATCGACTTTTTCTCTCAAAATGGTAGTAACAACTTGCTCTTGTTGTTTTTCTGTCAGTTCCATTACTAAATTCAATATATTATTTCGACAAGTAGATGCTGAACCACGATTAATACATAAGTGATTAATGCCTTTACCAACTGTCTGAAAACAAGTTTTACAAATGAGAATATTTTTTTTTGACTGATCAAATGATTTCTCTTGACTATTTGGACGCTGTGAGATATTCGAAGATCCATATAAACCATTAGTTGAATCAATTTCGTTCGATAATTGTCGTTTATGACCTCTACCTTTCTTAACCTTACACTGAGAAAACTGGAGAGTCAAATTCAGAGGTTCAAAAAGTGTATGTTTCCTTTGCTTATGAAGAGAGTTAAGTAGTCCTTCTAAAATAAATTTTAATTGATAATGAAAATCTACTTGTATATTCTCTCCCATTATATCTGAGGGTTAAAAGTTGCGCAGAAAATGTGTACGATCTGATGCGCGCGAAATTATTTTTCTGACATTTTATGTATTTAATTTAGGGGTTAGGTTGCCATATTTATTCATTTCGCGCTGGATAAGGAAGGGATTTCTCAAGGTGGTTAATTTGTCCCTCTGTTAGAGAAATGGCACGAATATCTGTCAATGGTGAATTTGAACATTTAGATTGTTATCCAATAGCTAACTCTCAAATATGAACGATTTGTCCCTCCAGATGTTTAGTCCAATACTCCAGTTTTCTCCGCGTAGAGTGGCCTTTATATCTTGCGGTCAGAGATACACTGTAAAAAAAGGGAGTTAAATTTTAACTCCCCAGGGGAGTCTATAAAAGTCGCACCCATTGGAGAGTTAATGCCAGGGGAGTTAAATAAAGAGAGTTAAAATTTAACACACAAATGCTAACTCCCCATGGAAAATATAACTCGCGCGGGTGTTGAATGAAGGGAGTTAGAAGATCGCGTTTTTTTTTCGTAAAATAATGTCTTCATAATTAGGCATAATTGGCAAATTTCTTTTAAAATCATGTTTTTCATATTCGAAAAGAGTATTTCGGCAAGTATTACATACACTTAGTGGATATTAGATATTTCGAATTCTTGCTTAATATACTTCTTTATAAGAGTCTCAATTTGATCATTTATACGGAAAAAGTTAGAATTTTTATTTCCGAAAACAATTTTTGAACCACACGCTGCACACACCTTAATTCTGTTCTGCTCGTGATCACATTTACTTTGGCAATGAGAATTGACTTTATTTTCCATCTTCAAAGAAACTATGAAGAAAGTTAAGAATTAAAACAAAAATATTTTTCCATATTACAAAAAAAAATTTACCACCCCTGAGCAATATCTTACCATTTTAAAAATTTAAGTGATCTTCGAATACAAGACAAATAGAATCTCACACTAAAAAAA